GCTGGCATCCCTGACAGGCTGTATATGGTTAGGAGATACGAGAGTTATAATCATATGTTTTTTGTCATTAATACTTCTAGTGAAAGTGAACACTTAATTCCTCCCCATTGCCTCAGCAAAGGATAAAAAGGATAAAAGTCAAGACATTCAGGCCTTCTGCAAACTCTACCTTTGTTTCATCTGGACCCATGGCAGGAGCCAGTGCAGAAGGAAGCCAGATATGGTCAAATGATCATTCACCTCCACAAACAGAAGAGTTAACCTGCCAGTTTCATGGCAGAAGTTACATGACTCCTGGCTCAGAGACAAAAACTTTATCACTCATGGCACAGCAGGCAAATAAGTTTCATGTTCCCATCAGTTCCCTATCCCTCCCCTCCTCACATCACGTGGGGGTGACACAGAGGTATGGAGGGGTGGGTGCGCACATTCCGTGGATTGGCATCGCATGGGAAGGACCCCAAATTTAGGGAATTGCAATCTGTTACCAAAGACTGCAAACCATGTTCCCAAGCGTCTCCCAAGATGGAAACATCAGCTTTGTTATGGTGGACATCCAATATCCTAGCCTCAGCTGCCTCTCCAGCCTCTGCCCCCTCTCTGCTTTCCAAGGCTGCTCGCTCTACACTCTTGAAAAGATAGTCCAGAACAAAGGACTGTCAGCATATCTGCTCAAAAGACTTTCATTGATATAAAAAAGATCAATGGAGAGTTGCTTCTTAGCCAAGAGCTATCCACGTAGAGGAGACCTCACAAGTATATGCCATGTGGTAAAAAGAGTTCTCAGTAAGAAGAATAAAAGGTGGTAAGATGCCTCTTCCTCCTGGAAGACATCTTCCTTTTCTTCCTTTTCTTTTGTCTTCTTTCTCTCCTCTTCTTTGGGGGGAAAAAATGTTACCCTGTTCTTTCTTTCCATGGGGTTAATAGTATCACAGGACCTCCTGCTCAAGAGGTAGCTCAGACTTTGAAAGGCTTTTGAATCCACTGTGGGGCTCAAAGGAGAAGCTGTATAGAGCGGCCAGTGTCGCTTTTCTGATTCTTTAACCACCAAAGAGAAGGGCTTTCTTTTCTCCAGGATCATCATTCAAGGACTCTAGTCACTGCCACAGGACTAAGACCAAGAATTCAGGATTCCCATATAGGTTGAGATGAAAAAGGCCAACCAAGAAGGACATTGAGCTGCCTCTGGCATAGAAATTGTGCTAAAGGATTAACCAAACGTTACTAATGATCCAAAATGGGAAACAGAGATTGAGACCAATGACCTAGCCAGTAATAAAGTAGAATTTTCCTGGAATGACCTCTATGCTTGCATGCCTCAGGGAGCGGAGGTAACAGCAGGCAGCTGGTGGCCAGCTGGAAGATTCAGATCCCCAGCCACACCCTGCTGGGACTAAAGCTCTCATGGTCCCCATTCCAGCACCACACTGGGACGTCCACGCACAATATTTGCCTACTTGCCTAATTCATTGCCACACCAGTTCTTTATAAACACGTCACTTTCACATGTTCGAAAACTTCTAGGAAACTCCTGTGTGCCATTGTCTCAAGTCTAAATTCTACTACCCAGTTTCTAAGGAACACACTAGTATGTAATAAGTGAATCAATTTTTTAAAACTTTCTTCTAGGAGCTGATTGCCAAATTTCACTAATTCCTCCCAGACAGAAATAGGACTTAATTTTAGATCAACTAAATGGTGAGTGTGGTTACTCAGGGTTACCCCCAAATTCTAACCCATCAACAGTGCTTTCTTTTATTGCCTTTGCTTTCATCTGTACAAACTCTTAATGCCCTTAGAGGTTGCATCCCAGTCTATTACCTGGTTCCATGCTGTGGAACACGCATGTTTTGTACAGGACAGGTCCCCATTATACAGCCCCCCAGAGTCTCTGTTGATTATAAAGTTGTGCAGGAACGCAGATTACATCATAACATAAAACTATTCACTTAGGATCACATACAAATATAATTTCCAAAGGATATACTCCAAATCCATAAAAATGATTACTTCTGATAAGAGGTGAAAGGGAATGGGATGGAAATGGTGATGAAATGGGCCTTCAGCTTTATTTGTAATAGTGTTTTGAAAGAAGAATGTGTTCGTGTTGAGGTAGATTGTTTCCAGATCTCTCGCAGGATGCTACCCTCTCTTGTGGGACTTTGCTGCTCCTCTCGTGGAGAGGGAGACTCTATGTTTCCTCCTCAAATCCGAGCTTAGTCTGCAAGCTGCTTGTGATGGAAGTGACCGGGGAGAGCGCCACAGTCTTGTCTTCAGGGATCCTGAAGCTTTTGCTCCCAAGCCCTCGGAATCCTGAGACACCATGTGAAGAACTTTGGCTTCCGGTACTAGAAAGATCAGAGAGCAGTTCCTGGAGACTAAAGATGGAGGAGAGAGAAATCCCAGTGGTGTCCTCAATCCAGCTAAGAAGCCAGACGTGTGCCTGAGACTGTTCTGGAATCCATTGTAGGTGAACGCGCCTGCCTAGCAGAGGTGATCCCTCCAAACGGAACCCTGCTGAGCCAATCACGGAATCACGCGTCAACACAGCTCGACTGTTGTTGTTTTCAGTCACGGAGTTTCGGGCTGGTTTGTTACACAGCAATAGACAACGGTTCTGTTACTTGAGTTATTCAAAATTACCTTTAAAACATAAATAAGGCCACATGCAAACCTTTCTTCCTGTCTGACAACGAGCTTCTCTCCTTCTCACCACCACTGCATGCCTGCAGTGTCTCCCCTCATCTCACTGACGACACAGCACCCGACATGGCAATGCAAAATCCATGCAAATCCATGCAAAATCAGGGCCAAGTGATTTTGATGTGAAATTGAAAATCTTTCAAAATATGTAAAAAATCATGAAGTTGATGAAGGTAATGTTAAAGAAACCCTTGAGTCATGGACGACATCACCTCTGACAAACGAGGATCTGCAGCTGGAATGGTTAGTATTCAAAGAAGAAAAAAACTCCACGCAGACGATGGCACAATAAGTGCTTCAAAGGGAATAATGTGACTGTCAGAGCTGAAGAGAGGCTCTTGGGAAACTGATGAAGCCCTCAAATATTTCTGCAATAAGGACCCTTTTTATGATTTGCCCGCAGAAGTCAAATGTGAAAGGACATTGTATCACGATACCGTGTCATCTTGTTAGAAAATTATGCTTCTCAAAATCAACACTCGATTCATCCTTTGTTCTAATAGTTAACACATCACTGGCCAACTAAATTTTGTTAAATTTAAGGTAAATTCGTTTAAATAATTTTCTTACATTGTTTAAAGATCAAGTCCCAACCAAATCTTTTCAGTTTTTTAAAAGATTTTATTTATTTATTTATTTATTTATTTGAGAGAGAGAAAGAGAGAGAACGTGTGAGAACGAGCAGGAGGTAGGGGGGTGGAGGGAGAGGTGGACTCTGCTGAGCAGGGGAGGCCTGAGGCGGGGCTCCATCCAAGGACTCCGAGATCATGACCTGAGCTGAAGGCAAATACTTAATCGACTGAGCCACCCAGGTATCCCCAAATCTTTTCACTTTCGTTGTCCCTATTTTAACAGATTCATTTTAAGTGGACTTGGGGTACCAGTCACCTGAGGAAATTAGGGTCTCTGTAAACATCCTCGATTCATCTCCCTGGCTAGCAGGTGCAGTCTGAGATCATGCTTCGCTAACGTCCCCTGGCTAGATCGTCCAACCCAGGACTAAGCAGATAGTGGGGACTCACAGATTCCGCAAATGTGACAAATGACCCGCTGATTGACCGGCTTACGTGTAGGTTTTTGCCGGCAAAGGACGGTGTTTCTCCATTATCCCTCCCTGATCCGACAGGAGCCGGCATCTGTTCTCTCCGAACGGTTCCGAGAAGGCCCATTACAAACTTCCTGCTGAAACACTCCGAAAGGCTGGATACATTTAAAACCAATTCAAGCATGTAAAGTCGTTTTAGAAAATAAGCCCCGCGTCCCAAGGGTTCCGCCGAGGAGGGCCGTGTCTCAGAACAGGTGTGCCACTTCACTGAACAGGAATTTGGAAATGTCAAACGTTAGAGGCACTTCAGAAACCCCGACTCAGCCGCCCGACACTTAGACTTGCGGCACGTGTCAATAAACGACGCGCGGAGCTATAGGTATTTGAGAAACTCTCTCGGCACAGATTCAGAATTAGCTGAGCCAAATCAGCATGGTAGGTTCTTAAAGAGACTACACTTTTTTTGGGTTTTCCTTTTTCGATTTTACTTCTCAAAAAGAAACTCTGTATTTTAGAAAACGGTCATTCCAAACCTCACCTTCTATTACGTGACCGGCACACATCAGCGGCACATGTTTTCACATTCCTGAAACTCTCAGGCTCTTTCAACTTATGCTGCACCCCCAGTCGCAAGAGTCCTAAGCACTGGGCTGCCTTTTCTCGTCGTTCTCGGGGTGGCTTCTGTTACTTTGGGAATTAAAAACTCACAAGACCAGCTTGGCTGCAAGTGCCCTTTTCAACGGAGCCCCTCCCAGTGCAACACGTTCCTCCTGCCGCCCCTTGTCCTTCTAGGGCAAAGGCAAACAATACTTCCCGTTGCAATAACCTGTATCCAGGAAAACACACACACACGCGCGCGCACACACACACACACACACACACCCGTAGCATAGCAGCCAGAGAAAAGTTTACGAGCTCTAGCCAACTGCAGACCAGGGAGCGAAGCCAAATTCGCATGTTTCTCTCCGCCTCTGGATGAAGTCATGGTTGAAACATGGCCCTGAACTTCTGCTACAAAGGGATAGAGACGGAGGAAAGAAAACCTGCAGGAAAGAGCCCGGGGCCAAGGAGCACGGGGTCAGGAAGTGCGCGGCCGCTTCTGCACCCTGAGTGGTTGTCGGGTCTGTGAGCTTCGCCTCCCACTGGGTGGAGTCGGGCTTTTAAGAGCGGCTGGAATGCAGTTCCCCCGGTCCGTGGAGCCGTCGGTGCGTGTGACCCTCGGCCGGTCCCGGAGAGCCGCGGTTCGCTCCCTTCCTCCCCGCCCCGGGAGCACCTTCCCACCTGCCCAGCCATGGGGGAGGACCTCGCCCAAGCCGAGAAGCTGCAGCACCTGGGCTCTGGCACGTGGCAGGAGAAGCCAGCCAGCCCCAGCCTAGCGCCCTCCTCCACGCCGAGCCCCAGCCTGAACCTGGGGAGCACGGAGGAGGCCCTCCGGGACAGCGCGCAGGTGAACGCCGTCACGGTGCTCACGCTGCTGGACAAGCTGGTGCACATGCTGGACGCGGTGCAGGAGAACCAGCACCACATGGAGCAGCGGCAGATCAGCCTGGAGGGCTCCGTGAAGGGCATCCAGAACGACCTCAACAAGCTCTCCAAGTACCAGGCGTCCACCGGCAACACCGTGAGCAAGCTGCTGGAGAAGTCGCGCAAGGTCAGCGCGCACACCCGGGCCGTCAAGGAGCGCATGGACCGGCAGAGCGCTCAGGTGAGGCGGCTGGAGGCCAACCACGCCCAGCTGCTCCGGCGCAACCACTTCAAGGTGCTCATCTTCCAGGTCAGTGCCCCCCCACGCCTCCCCCTGCGCAGCTGGGGCCCCTCCGCCCTCGTGATCTCAGCCCGCCTGGCCCTCCCGGCCATTTGGGCATCTGTCCTGCCTGTCGGGGACCACGCACACGCAGCATTGTCCCTGTCCGCCTTCAGCAGGAGGCGGCGGGATCCGCGCGGGGGTGCGACCTCTCGGGTCACCGCAGCCTCAACCCACGGCGGATGCCCGGGGGTCCGCAGGCCAGGGTCGTGCGTTAGGGAGCACCTAGAGGCAGTCCACGGTTGGGAGGGGAGCAGGTGCACGCACCCTGGTCACATTCGTTGGTCTCTGCCCTCCGACTGCAGCTGTTAGCCGGGAAGGGCACGTTCCTTCCGTGGCTGTTGATTAACTCTTTGTGGAAATGAGACAATCGTGCGAGCTGGTTTTTTCATCAAGTCAAATTCATGACTGTGTTAAGTGTCTCTTAGTGGAGAAGACACCCGTGTGGGGGGGACTAACCAAGTATTGAAGACGGATTCCCTCAGAGTTGAGCTAGTCTCTTCCTTGAAGATTCTTTTGGCCAAAGCAGTCTTTGTTATTTTTCTAGCCAATGATGCACTAAGAACACAGAGTGTAACTCTTCGCGAGCGCGCCAGGTGGGCTTGTTTTGGCCCAGGGAAACCACAACAGTAAGGTAAAACAGAAGCAGTGTTACCAGCCACAATCACGGAGGCTCGTCTTGAGTATTTTCTCCTTAAATGGTTGCCTTAGAATAAAAAGGCCACTTAATTTTTTTAATGCATCAATGATGCAATTAATGTCGCAAGAGGGTATCTGGGGACAGGGAGATAGCGTGCGGCTGTTGTTCCGCCAAGTGGTGGGCATTTGTGCGTCCCAGGGCAGCCCGGCCTAATGCTGGAAGCCCTTCCGCCCGGTGGAACGCAGCCAACGCAGAGCCCAGGAAGCAGTTGCCATCCCTGCCCCAGGGCTGTCTCCTTGTGACCATGTGAATAGGAGAGGGTTTCAAAGCCATGGAGGGGAGAGGCTATAACCAACTGTTTGATTGTGAAAGGCGCACAAGAAGAGCCTTCATCTCCCAAGGGAGATTTAGAAATTGGAATTTAACCGAGGGAGCCTTCTTTTTTCTAAATGAATCTGCTCTGCCAAGTTAGAACCTAAGCCTCCTTCCCTCCATAAAAGGAAGGACTCATCCTGCTGCTTTTCTGTCCTCCCCAAATTGCACTTGATGTAAAGCTTCAGGCGCTGATGACCTCCTATGCCTCGCAGGCTCTCGCAGCCTAGACATGTTTTAGCTTTTCATGCAAATGGGGGAGCTTTTCATGCAAATGGGGGAGCTTTTCATGCACCAGATGAACTGAAAAGAGATATGGTGACTGCGCCTTTCTTAAGCGATGTAAGATCCTTACTTTATTAGCCTAAAAGATATTAGAAATCTCAGCTCTCAAGGCATTTCTAAATTAAATACTGATCTCCAAACAAAACCAAACATGTACAGACATGTTTAAATCTGAGTCATCAGAGGAAATGTTCCTCCTTCCCATGGGACTCAGGGAGATCGTCTCTTGTCCTCTATCCCTCCGTTAAGGGGGCGGGAGGGGAGGAACTAGTAGGGGGAGATCATCATTTGTCAGGATCGGTTTACGTTTCCTTTTGCCACGGGCGTTCTGTAGATGTTGGGGGGCAGGGGTGGAGAAGACACATGACTCAAAATTCAAGAGAACAATAAATCTGACATATAAAAAAACCAAACAAACAAAGACAACTGTTGGGGAACTTCAGGACTCGATCTGCTGTTGAGCCCTACCTCAGTCTTCAGTTTGGGACTGACAGGTGTGAAGCTGCAGCCAGATATGGTAGCAGTTCTCCGTATGGCGCGTAGCGGCGAAACGGGGTGCGCGAGCAAGGTGGGCGCTTCCCAGAGAGCCCAGAGCAGCGCCTTCAGGCCCCGCGGTGCGCGTTCTACTGAGCTGCCCCAAGGACACTCCTTTGTTTATTTTAGAAAGAGCAGTTTAGGAGTCAAGGAGCTGGACCTTTCTTCAACTATGGAAGACACCTTAGCAGCCTGAAGGATATCCGAAGTCTCCCCTCTCAAGATATTGTAAGGTGATTATTTTGACAGACACAGACAGGTGCGATCTCCTAGTGGACGAAGGGCCGCTCGCTCTCTGAAAGCTGGGTGTCCGGGTCAGTGGCCGCGCCCGTGGCTGGGACATCGGCGTGTGCTGGAGAGTGCTCCGGGTTCGGGCTTGAGAAGCTCTATTTTGTCGGACGGACCCTGGTTCGTATCCGAGTTTCACCGCCTGAAGCTCCCGGATCTTGTGCACACCTCGCACCTCTCTAAGCTTCTGTTTTCTCACCTGTACGCTGAGGCTGTTAATAGGAGCAAAACACTGTTGGGCTCTTTCCGTAAGCTCGGCATGCTCTAAGTGTCTTTGCGTGTTATCTCATTTCCCCCAATTTACAGATGGGATGTGGAGATTCAAAGACGTTTCTGTCTTGTTGATGTTACCTGGGAAGAAAGGAGCGTGGCGGGGTAGGCAGGCCGCGTCCCTCGTTGCGTGTCTGCTCTTCTGCGTGAAGGCTGCTTCCTGCCTGCCTCTCCTACGGGTGAGGAGTGAATGGAATAACCTTTTAAAATGGTTAGAGAGGGGCGCCTGGGTGGCTCAGTGGGTTAAAGCCTCTGCCTTCAGCTCGGGTCATGATCCCAGAGCCTGCTTCCTCCCTTCTCACTCTCTGCCTGCCTCTCTGCCTACTTGTGATCTGTCTGTCAAAAAAAATAAATAAAATCTTAAAATGGTTAGAGACTGGCATGGCGTCTCAAGGGACAGAAGCTCTTCTTGGGCCATCTGAAATGCATTTGCACAGAGTGGAGGCTACACTTCCGCTTGGTTAGAAATGTGCCTCTTGAGTAACAAACGACCCCTCCCTACCCAAGACCTTAAAATGGCGAGGCTTACGCTTTTTAGTTGGGACATTGTACGACAGCTTCATGTTGAAATCAGTATTATGTCCACAACACACCATGAGAGCAAAGGGCTGACCCAAAATAGAGCCTTCCTGTGGCATGAGTCTTCATGGAGTGACAGCGGGTGGGTAAGAGGATGAGGCGGCAGATGATACACCAGGTACCGCCTCGTACCTAATTCGTCATTTTCAGTCCACTCAAATCCTATGCTAGACTTTCCTCGACTAAATCCATTGGTTTTCTAGTATAAAACAAACAAAACATTTGATGTGAACATTAAAAATAGAAAAAGAGAGAGGGAAGAAACTGCGTCACTTGCTTGAGCACATTTAGTACATAGTGTCCAGACGATTAGGCTTCCAGTTTGCGAAGTCCTGTTGTGTCCTCCAGAATCTGCAGGTGCTTCCTGGTTGGTCACTCCGTTGGTTTGTCGACCAGGTACTTAGATGCTAGCACTCCTTTAAACTCCAAACTTTGTCCTTATTTTGTCCTGTTTGAAAAAATATTATTGGGCACTTGGGTGGCTCAGGTGGTTGAGCGTCTGCATTTAGCTCAGGTTGTGAATTCGGGATCCTGGGATGGAGCCCTGTGTTGGGCTGAGCAGGGAGTCTGCTTCTCCCTCTCCCACAGTCCCTCCCCACTGCTCATGCGCTCTCTCTCTCGGTCTCTCTCTCTCTCAATAAATAAATAAAATCTTTAAAAAATAAAAATAAATAAAATATATAATCTATTTATTTACTTAAATGTCTGCTGAACTTACCACATCATTGTGGCGTGAAAGCCCCTCATGTCTTTGGCAATTACTTTAATTACAGTATCTAAAACTAGAGACCATTCCTCTCCCTTTGAGCAATGAAAAAAAAAAAAAGGTAAAATCCTTATTAATTTTAGCAGCTTTTCTTCTTACACTATTTTATAATAGCTTCAGAACAATGTTTGAATTCAAAATACTGTGACAGGACCCAGTATAAATGAAATAAGACTCAGAGGGATTGGTGATCAAAAAGCAAACGCTGAAGACTAATAAGACTAATGCTTTTTCTGTAAGTATGGCTATCTTTGCCTAAAAATAGCACTTACACAGAAAATCAGTGAATTTACTGTTAAAAAGGGAATTTTCTCTGTTGATTGAAGAGCCTAGAATCTCACAGGTAACTGGCCAGGAGGGTGTGGTGCCCACTTATGCCTTAAGGTTCTCGTAATGATTATCTGAAAAAGCAGTTTGGGAATGATTTCCAATCTAGGGAACAAAATGAGAGTACTCATGGACAGCTTACACTTTCATCCACATAAAATTGTGAAATTGGGTGAAAAGAGTAGAGGCTGGTGTTCACTGTAGGCACATTCATGGAGAATCGGGCCCATCAGCGTGTTCAAATATTCATTGTTTGGCTTCCTTTGATGCGATCAGAATTTGAGAAAAGTGCTAAAAGTGTAACATCTTCAGACTATTTTAAAGTTGAATTTTTTTTTCAAAGATGGCACTTTCTCCACCCAAAGCCACTGCTCTGAAAACCGCTAAATTATTAAACCTGTAGAAGAAATGAGAATACGGAAAATCAAAGACCTGTTTAGGTGACAACTCGCCATGTTGATGTCACATTGATTAACATTCCCATAATGGGGTATTGGTTTTGATGGGAGGCTTACCCCGTTCCCTTTGAGTTTCTGAGATAAACAAAATACTGGCTTCTAAGTGTTATTATTTGTACTTACGGAAGGTGAGCACTGCCTCAGGCATGTTACGTAAATAACTGATTATTGTTTCTTCAGAAGAATCATTACTTTCTCTCATTTATTAAAAACTAGACTGTTTCTCAGATGCAGCCCTCCCACGTGCACGCGGCCCCCTCTGTCGTTTTGCGATCTGGATCTGGTAGAACTGAGTGAGCGACAAACATTCTCCAGGGCAGCTCAGGTCCTAGAGTTGGGATTCTTGCATGAAACGAAACCTGTTTGGCGTTCGTACACTGGGAGAACGCTTCTAAAATTTGTTAATTATTTTTCATGGGATTTACATTAATATCAGAAAATCAAACGTTTGGTTTAACCTCATTTTATATCAAAGCAGCTAAGGCCCTGGGAAAGTGACTAACAAGGTTTCCTTTTCTTAATAATAGAAATTAGAGAGCTGAATGGCAAAATGAAGTAAAAACAAACACTGTATTCCCACTACGGCAAAGTTCATGTTTACTGGGTTTTCTACACCAGCTTTTAAATAATTCAGAATGATTTGTTTTCCATTTTGTGGTGGGTGTGTGTGTGTGTAACAAAGAATACCTAACCCGTGTGATTTTAAAAAAGAATTGAACCCTTGATAGCACTGAAAAATAATGAAACTTTTAAATCCTCCACAATGTGAAAGACTGCTCAGGGATTATAACTAATGCATTTTATTCTTATGACTTGCTGATTCTACCGACAGCTACCTTAGGGGTGCAGTTCTAATCAATGGCTTTATCCACTTGGCAATCTATACCTCAGAAACACAAATTGGAGAAAACCATCAATGTGTAAAGGAGACCTATAAATCAGAGTGTCAGGTGGGCATAGTTCCGTTTTAATAACTAGTATTTAGAGGTTATCGGATGAAGCATCCCATGGACTCAAATTTATGGTCCTCCTATCCCTTCAGGATGCCACCACATCCCTGTGGGACTGTGGCAGCCGTAGTTAATTTCTTCTAACAACAGGGATGAGAAGTTAGTGACAAAAGAACAGAGTGCTGACTTTTCTCCCCTCGTTCAAGCTTTTTCTCTAGGCTTCCTTTTCCCATGCCAGTCACAGAATCTCCTTCTCTTTTAAAGTGTCTACTTCTGTATATGCCCAAAGATTTGCTTCCATGATCTCCAACCCAAGAGGTGCTTGGCAAGTTGGCAAGTTTCTCCATGTTGATATCTACATGCACAACCGGGATGGTTAGTTCATGAGAATCAGTATAAATAGCAAACAAGCTGAAGTGGAAGAAAAAATGCCACTTCTCAGGAGTTCTTTCCATTCCTTTTCTCTTCCGTGCTGCAAGCACATCATTCATATATGTTTGAAGTGCGCTGTTTAATTCTCCCTTCCTTTGAAAAACTCCTAAGGGTTCTTGTGAAAGGTCAGAACCCAGAGCAGCTGCATTACTGGCGGCTGAGTACCTTTTTGAAAATAAATCTGTAGGGCAAACAGTCAGCGGCTCTTGGGGGATTCTGCTAGACAGAAGTGCCCAAGAAAGCAATGCAGCCCACCAAGGATTCTTCACGCCACGTTAAGGAGTCACAAACCCAGAACAGATACATGCGTAATTGCATAGTTAAGCAGTCCCCCTGGAAGGAGCTGTCCGTACTGGATTCTGTGCGAGAAGGCAGAGCAAAAACATGAGGACAGAAGGCTGAAGGGCAAGTGTCCCTTCACCTGTAGACAGGGAGCTATCACCAGATGTTTCCACAAGGTGTGTGCGAGAGGACCAAGCAATGGCCCGTGTGCAGGGAAGACGGGGCACCCAGGGACAGCGCCGTTCTAGAAAACCTACGTCTGAGATGCTGGTTGAGTTTCCACCATCGTAACAGCCCCTTCATGGTCCCGTACAGGTCCAGGTCTATGTTTTGTTTCACCAAAACAATAGAGATTTAGAGGGAGTGTCGGTATTTTCCCGCTTCTACAGACACAGGATGGAAAGGTAAGACCCGCGTGTGCTCAGACACCTGCAGATTCCTGTGGGAAGGGGAGGCGCTTGCCCTCACACTGGATGCCACAGGCGACCACGGAATAAACCACGTCCGGCAGACAGAACGCAGAACACCACTCAAGGAATAACAGTGACAACGGAAGCTTAAAGCAGTTAGTCAAAAAGACATATCTCACTTGTTTCCAGTTTTATGAAGACCCGCCCAGCTCGTTCTGGATTATGTCCGTTCCCGCTGGGTTTATTTTCAGAGCGGGTGTAAGCACGCTTGAATCAAGGTCCCAGGCGTCCTCGGAAGGAGTTCAGCGGGTCTGCCTCTATCCCTCAGCTGCCCTCCTATGTGCCCGATGTATCCACTACACATCACCACCGACTCACCCGACCTTGCTCAAACCTGTTCCCAAAGGACATGTCACAAGCGAGACCAGAGTTTCGACTCAACAGGAAAGATGTTGTCTTAATAACAAAAAGCACATTTAAGACAAAAGGCAACACTGTTGAATTCTTTTAAAAGCACAGTTACTATGTATACCTCTCTGTTAAGGCTGAAGAAGGGAAGTCATCAGGGTAATTCTCTGAGCACCTGCAGAGATCAGGCCATACAAAATGTAGCCGAGCTTAGTTTCAAAGTTTCCCACCCAAATTTCCACTTCCTTCACTGATGACTTGCAATAACATTTCACGGAGTTCTCGGTTTCTGCTTTTCCTCCAAACAGCTCCTGGCAAACTCTCCCAACCCTCTTGTCAAACCCCAGAAGTAATTTTGCTTCTGGACTAAGCATCAGGGCCGTAGCTGTTTCTGTGGTCGCCCCCCCCCCCCCCCCCATGATGCTCCTCCACTGAGAATAACGTCTTTCCTGAAAAATGGAAACGATTCCCTTCGGCGTAGGCTCGCCTCATTTCGCAATGGAGCTACAGTCCACAGACTTCCTTCTAAGACACAGAGCTAAGCCCATTCTTTTGTAGTCCTCAAACCTACCCAAAGGACAGGGGTAATTCCTGTTGCAGCTGCCCACGTCCTTTCTCAGCCCCATGAGGCGACGGGCGCTCATCCGGCAAGTGGCTACTCAAGCATTCTCGGCGTTGGGGCCTAACCGAACAAGAGACAAAAACTGCCGCTCTCGTGGGGGGTCACGCCAGCGAAATAGCAGCAAGTTGAGACTTGAAACATGGGAAAGTCGCTTTCTAGAGAAGTCCAAGTCACAAATGACTCATGGGAATCCCATCCTCCTTTCAATTTTTTCTTTTTTTTTAGTCTTTTGTACTGTGTTCCTGACACTTTCCACGATACTCAGAATGGGTGGTTGTGGAGAGAGCTTTGGGAAGCAGAATCTGTGACTTCTTTACTCTAAAGAGATCCTGTTCAACCAGATTTTGTGCTATTTATCTCTACCCAAGATGTTATCCTTCGTTTGTAACCAGTTTATGGAAAGGACCAGCGTATGAGTGTGTGTGTGTGTGTGTGACACAGGGACACGGGAAGACACGGGCTATATTCAGAGTATCACAGTTATACTACTCCGTGGTTAATAAGAGGGACTTCCAGTTTCTCTGTATCAAACTTTGTGCATTTAGCTTTTGTAAGCAAAAAGGTAAAAGGTGGGCAGGTACACTCACAGAGTATGTGTTTGATCATGACCCCGATGTTACTGACTTTTTGGTCAATCAAAATTGCAAAACAAGAAGGGAAGGTCCATCCTGTTAACATGAACTTTACATGAAGTGGAGATCCCGGATAGACCTTTAAATACGAAATCTGGTTATGTCTCAAGCTGAGAGTCTCCTGGACGGCCCACAGTATAATGTGGACACCAAAGCTCTGGTTGAAGCCAGGGTGGGCACGGGCTCGGAAGCCTGGCCCACCCCGGCACTCCTACGAGCCCCGAGTGTCCCTGGGAGTACAGTTGGAAGGCTGCTCATTGAGGGCAAGTCCTCTTGTTCTTATCTGGAAGAAACCGAGACCCAAAGAGAGTAGGTTGTTTGCTGAAAGTCCCTCAGCCTGTCAAAAGTCCAGCAGGGCTGAGACTCTGGCTCCTGTCACTCGTTCTTTCTACTGAGCTGTTTCTTCCCATAAAAATGTGAAGCCTCCCCTGCCCGTTGGCTCTCGTTAACCCAGTATTCAAAGACCAACATAAAAAATGAAAGGGCTTCCTTCCTATGCTGTGTGACCAAGTCTGTCTGAAGTCGTAGCCACCCACCCGGCGGTGTGGGAGCGCCATTGCCCTTGACTCTGAAGGCACGTTCTCGGGCTCTGCTCCCTGAGACACAGGAAGGGGCAGACCTTTGCCTGTGTGCCTGGAGGCTGGAGCAGGAGCTACGCTGGGAACAGTACAGGGAAGGGGGCAGATTCCTGAGCCCTGTCACTCTCGCTCTGGGTGGGGGCCCGAAGTAGTCTTGCCCTAGGAAGCCCCGTATAAAAGAGCCTTGATAAGATACATCAGTGTTCCCACTCACCACTCTGAAAATGGCCGTGGCATGCCGCCTCTCCTTACTAATGTCCACAAAGGATATCCTAAACCACAAGGCTCCAGGGGTGGGCCCCTAGGAAGGCTGGCCCTTGCTTTTCTTACTCTAAAGTTATGTCATTAGAAAATTAATGTGCAGTTCCAAAAATTAATGTGCAGACACCAAGGTTGACCATACTTTTACTTCTGGCTCCCACCTGGGGAGGGAACCCTATTAAGGCTTTATATGGGGTCCGATACTTGAAGACTTCCCAGTCCTCTCCCTTGCCCCCATCTTTTATCTTCTAACTTGGCCTCCAGGCTCTTTTGCAGTGGGATTTTGCCAGGAACAGAGCTATCTGACCTTGAAGGAGGGTAGGAGAGAGAGGCCTCTTGGGTTCACAGTCACTTACTTTAGCTCCTTTATCTAGGCAACTTCCTGATCTATCAGAACCACAGCCCACTTCCCCCGCTGCCTGTCACTGATAGGGCCCTTGCCAGCTGCCCTGGTCATATTCCCAACAAGCAGCCCTTGCCCTTATCCAGCCTCCGGGAGTGACTTGACCCGTTTAGTATTAACTCCTCACATGCTAGAAAACAAAAGCCACAAGTGAACGTTTGGTTTCTATCATCCCGCTGGCCAGAAAGACCGACACAGCAGGTCACAGCAGTTCGGGACAATTTGTGAAATCCGTTATTAACATGAAATCTACATGGTCCGTCTTTTCAGGAAGAAAATGAGATTCCTGCCAGTGTGTTTGTGAAGGAGCCGGCCTCCAGCCCCGCCGAAGAGAAGGGGGAGCTCGCCGACGAGAACAAGTCCCTGGAGGAAACCCTGCACACGGTGGACCTCTCATCGGACGACGAATTTCCCCTCGAGGAGGCGGCCCTGGACGACAGCGCGGAGGAAAGGGTAGAAGAGAGCAGGGCGGAGAAAATAAAGAGATCTAGCCTGCGGAAAGTAGATAGCCTCAAGAAAGCTTTTTCTCGCCAGAACATCGAGAAAAAAATGAACAAGCTGGGCACAAAGATCGTATCTGTAGAGAGGAGAGAGAAGATCAAGAAATCCCTCACCCCCAGTCACCAGAAGACATCTTCGGGGAAAAGCTCCCCGTTCAAGGTCTCTCCCCTCACCTTCGGGCGGAAGAAAGTCCGGGAGGGAGAGAGCCCAGCCGAAGCCGAGACCAAGTCTGAAGACGCGGCGAGCAGCGACCAGATACCCGCCGAGCAGGAGGACGGACTTTCCGGAACGTCGGCGTCCGGCGCCCTGGCGCAGGGACAGAGCAGCGAGGCGCTCGCAGGAAGGGCGCCCCGGGGGAGCAACGTCGACTTGACCATTGAGGAGGATGAAGAAGAGCCCTCGGAGGCCGTGGAACAGGCCCGGGAGGTTCACTACGAGGGCGGCGACCGGCTGACCTCGGAGGGCGCGGAGGGCGCGGTGCCGCCTGCGGTGCTCCGCGTGGACCAGGCGTCCTGAGCGCCGCGCGCCGGCCCGGCCTGCGCTCCGGGGCCCGTGAGGACCAGCGCGCGGAGCCGGCCTCGCGCACGTCCCCTGCGCCGCCCGTCCCGCCCGTCCTCGTCCGAGCCGCCGTCCTTCCCGCTGCGGCAGCGTCGCACGCAGGCCCGAGATCTCGACCACCGCCCGCCCGGCGCGCCTTCTCGCTGGCTCTCGGGTTCCCCGTCGGTGTAGTTTCTGCAGGATCGCGCGGAAGGAGAGCGGCGGCGGCTGCGCAGCGCGCCCGGTGCGGCCCGGCTACGCGCCCGGTGCGGCCCGGCTACGCGCCCGGTGCGGCCCGGCTACGCGCCCGGTGCGGCCCGGCTACGCGCCCGAGCTCCTGAAGACACGCGCCTGCAGCGCGCTTCGGCTTTGGTCGTTCCAGGAGCCCGGGGCACGGTGCCGGCGCCGTCCCGATGCCCGCAGAGCTCCGAGAAGCGAATGGCTGCGCTTCAAGTGTCCGATACACAATACCCATATGCACTGAAGCTAGACGTAACTACGTTATATTTCGGGCGGGAACACTTTTTAAGAAAGGTGGAAGAGAAGGTCCAGTTGGTTATTCACTTCATAGAAACCAGTGTCTGAAATGAAATTACTGAAAATGAAGGACAAAAACTGAAAGACTGTAATAGCTAATAAAGGGAGATGAAGGAAAGCCAGGACTATCAGAGAAAGAAAACCAAGGAGAAGTTGGAAAATAAGAGAAACCAGAAAGGAAGAATGCCAAAGAGAATGAAGAGAAAAAAACTACGTGCTTAGGAAGAAAATATTTACAGTATTAACTCAAGTATTCCATTCCTTAAATAATAATTCTAACAAGTTTTATATATCCCGGAATAATAGGTTCTATCTTCACAGTATTCTTATTTTCTAATATTTTCAAATAATATGAAAACATAGTTTACTGTGTTAAAGTTGCATTTTTCTTAATAAATCAAAGACATTACAAATATTTCTCCAGGGAGGTTTAAAAAGATGTCTCTTTAACATGAGAATGAACACAAATCTTCAAAATTCCATGTGCTGTCTTTTGGAGGAAGCTGGATCATACTATTCTTTCATGTTTTCCAAATTTGAAATAACCTTTACTCTCCAGATGATGTAACATAGGTCTAGAAAGTTGTTAAAATCAACAGGTTTGAGAAGGGAAGGATTCTGTTTTTCCTTTTTGTACATAGGGCTGATTTCATCCCAGGTCATATTTTATTTATGTATTAACTTCACAGAATATTAATATGATTCTTCCAAAAGCATGCTAGTGTATATGGGCACATTTATTCCGACAGAATAATTTTTACTACTGCCTAACATTATACTAAAATAGTGCTTTATCTATTTTTAATTACAGAGTGCTAATGTTTTGAGAAAACTATTGAATTTTAGTTTAGAGATGGTTGTGCGAGGGAGCAAACGCCCCACCTTTCGTACATACCACTCACCATATGTAACCTTACAAATAGAAGTAATCCACGACTGTATTAACAAATGACGCTTTGTGTTAGAGAAGGAAAGAAGGATTAACAGATGTATTAATGGCATAACCTATACAGCTCTGTCCTTGTTTGGCAATAATGTACCCCAAATACTAGATTGTTGAACTAACAATGGCTGTGTTAAAGAAGACTAAATAAACCAAACAATAAAAAGTATAGAACAATGTCAGTTTTTTGGCAGAACAATTTTAGAACGAGCAAGAAGAATGGATTTTTAAACTCTCCCACAAACAGAGCTGTAACATTCATCGTTTCCACCTTGATCTCCCCTATTAGCTCTGCTTTCTTTTTCCCCTGATCTCATTTAGAAATCCAAGTCTCATTCTTCAAGTTTAACTTTCTTGACATCACTTTGCCAGAGAGCATCTGAATTTATCGCAGCAGCTTGATAAATTTGATAGTGCCATCTGCATTTTTATTGTTTTGTACCAGACCTTATAATGCCTTAAAGAGCCCTGCAAACATGGGTGTATTGAGCATATGTGCAGTTCATTCACACCGATCAACCTTTGTCTGCGGTGCCACCGTGCACTTGGTAGAGGACTTCGTTCACTCCAGGCCCTGAGCTGGCCTATTTAACCTTTATGAAGTCGCTGTCACTTTTTGCAGCCAGAGTTGGGGGATCCAGAGTTAATGTACAGTGTATATTTTTCTTTCCAAAAATGCTTATGCTGTTTGTTCCTATAAACCATTTGCATGCTGGCGAAAAGTCATGCTTAAAGCTTTTTAGATTTTATTGACATACATTTATTTTGTGTTCCCCATTTGAAGCATTAAAATTCTAAGTAATAAAACAGCGAATTAGGCCAGATAATTGTTGGAAAACACATACTGTAGGGATTAGAGAGAGCAGCAGTTGTGGAAATGGAAGCTGTTTATTCTGTATCATTGTTGAGTTATTTGCACACTGGTGAGGCTGAAAAGTCCCCAAATTAGATATGTCTTCCTTCTACCCACCCAATAACCCGTTCCTAACTTTATGTGCCTGGAGCTCAGGAACTAAATTAGTTTCCCCCCAAAGACGGGTTATACATTAATAAGCACTGAGATCCGTATCTCAGAAATATAATTCAGGAGTGAAGAAGCATCTCTTATACAGACCACAAATCTCACCGAAATATAGCAAAGATGTCACTTTACTACAAGATCTTATTTTTAATATATACAGACATACATATTTCAACAGGAATATTTTCCTCTTTCCACTTAGGAATCTAGCATTTGGCTGAATTTCCTTTTATGCATGAAAATAAAAGCTCCATGCTAAGGCCACTTCTGCACAAAATAAAGATTTTTCACATTTATCGTATGATGAAAGCCCAAAACTTTCTGTTTTTAGCACTGCTCGTGTGTTTCAGTCCACCGTCAAGAGACGAGACGCTCCTTCCACGGACCAAACCGCTAGTGTAAGTAAAGGTTATAATGAAAGGCATTTCCGACATTAAGACACGAATGCCCAAGCCCAGTTAATTCTTGCTTGAAAGTTTGTTTACTGCCCTGCAGCTCAGGTCTAAACGATTTTATAGCGGAGACTGGGAGTCTGAGGGACTGAGGTACACGGAGCAATCATGATTAACAGTTCCATAGCAACCACAAGTCTTTTCCTAAAAACCAAGACTCCGACGCGGCTAAACAAGTTTCGGATGAAATTGGCCTTGCGACCTTTGTATTCTGCTCCATCTGGGTGTCGAGATAAAGACTGTGGCAGCCAGGAGCGCGTTCCTAAAGGGAACAGGCAGTAACTCACATTATTACATTGCTACATCCTTAACGACCCAGCCCTCTCTTTTTTGTTTTAACCACGGCATTACCCTGTGGTTTCTGAAACTCTAACAGTATTTTTAACTCTTCACCCAAACTGCCCCAATTAAGAAGCCACACCTTTAGCAAAATGACCTGATGGTCATACATGTGAAGACTTCCCACCACCTTGGGTCAGTCCTACCATGCGCTGAACACAAGTATTCTCTCATTTCAGATTTTATTTATTTATTTATTTATTTATTTATTTATTTATTTAAGAGAGAGAGAGAGCACAAGCAAGGGAGACGGGCTGAAAGATAAGCCGGCTCCCTCCACTTGGGGCTCAACCCCAGGACCCTGAGATCACGACCTGAGCTAAAGGCAGAGGCTTAACCGACTGAGCCCCCCAGCAGCCCAGTATTCTCTCACTTAACCACACAAATCCTATTAGGAAAGTACTGATTTTGCACCCGAGACCTTTGAGGTTAATTCGTACAACTAGCAAGATGGAGGGTTGGGGAGACTCTCCAGAGTTCTTAAGGGCTCTAAGTTCTCACTCTTGTTAGAATTCAATTATTTTTCCTTTGAAGTTCACCGACTTAAGACACATGCAAGTTTGCATAACTACTGAACGTCAGAGCAGCGTCCAGCGCAGCCTGAGATCCGTGCCACTGCCAAGAAAGACCCCTAATGGTATCATCCGACTGTGCTTAGTTATGAATCACTTTATGAGCTCTCAGATGGCATAGTAGTGACTTCGTTTATCGTCCATATATGGCATCAGATACAGCTGCACTTTATAAATGATTTGGGTGCTTGTCACACCAAGGCTAGGAAAACACAGTTTTCCCCCAGTTCCCAGGGAGCCACAGAGAGACGATTATTCGGGTCTGCTGAGGCCACCCAGGGGCTCCCGAGCCTCACGGCATCACCCCTCATCAGTAGCTGCGGGGCTCACTGTGGGCATAGTTTAACAAGGGCAAGCTGTCAGCAAGGTGCTGGAATCAGCTCGCTCCAAGATGGCACAACAAGCCTGCGTCCGACTCACGTAAAAGCAGCATGTCCCTGTGTCATACTAGAGAAACTGCTGTCTCCTGCGGGACACATCCTCTCACAGGCTGAGAAAACAAGCAAACATCAGATCAACATGGGGGGCGATGCTGGGGGCTGGGGCCGGAGATTGGGTGAATCTTGAGGACACAGAGACCAAGCCTCTGAGTACGATTCCTACAAAACCATCTTCTCAAGGAAAACAGGAGCCAGGTCAAGCGAATGCTGATGTCTCCATCTCTGTGGGCAAGCCATCAGAGACAACCTCCGCGCCAGCCCTCACTCATCAAGGTGGATGCAGGCAGCGGCGTCTTCAAAGGCTTTGGCAGTGGTCACCAACCCGAACGCCTACAGGGCTCACACGGGAGTACAATTGTCCAAGATGGTGGCAGCCGCCGAAGCAAAGTTGTTAGGCGTGGGCACGGCGGGGCACCTTACAGTGCATCTGCCCGGAGGCGGTGCCTTTTTCTAATTCCCAAAAAGGGATGGTACCTTCTGGATGCTGCCCTGGATTGTGGTGAACCGACAGCCATTACCCAATCCCAGTTGCCATCACTTCAACTTCTTTCAGGAAAGGCCAAAATTCAGATCTCTTTGCTCATGAAAATCTCCTGCCTTTTCCTTTTTCGGCAGCAAGCTCAAATCATTTTAAAATGTTGCATGAACCCATCCACTGTCCACTGTCGGGATGTAGCCTAGGCACAGACCGTCCGTTTCTGACTCCAGGTCCACAGGGATGAGGGCTCTTGGGTCCTCCTTCCCCAGCCTGCGGAACAGGCAGGAGAACAGAAAGCTGGTAACGGGACTGGATGCACCTTGAGAAAAAGCACAAAAACCTTCTTAGGGAAATAAGAAATACAAAAATACTCTCACCAGAACTTGTGAGAAAGTTTTTCTTGGGCGCCTGGGTGGCTC